AATTAGGACTTCCATTTCAATTAGAACGAGGACTTCTTGGGTTCCAAGTAAGGTCTTTTATAAAAAATAGGAGTTGTAAGTAGGCTTGCAAGTATAGCCCCCAATAGAGTAGAATGACGGGCAAAGATTCGTATAGCCGACCCCAATTAGTTGGGAAAAGGCTTTGACGATGATGAGGGGTAGCAAATAGGGTTTCCGAAGAGATTTGAGTCCTTATTTCGAAATATTGTTTCCTTGAATTCTTGTAAATTCTGGAGAACCATTGAAACAAGGCTTGTCGACTTCCTTTTAATTTCAAATATATTCATCAAATTTCTATTTTTATATATCTTTTGATTTTTTTTTTGGGGTAGAAATTTGCATTACAAGGGAGTCTCTCAGGCACATGCATGTTAATGGTCACATCAATCCAACAAAATCAAATATCCATATCCAAAGTAACTAGCAGCATAAGATGAAGCATTTCATAGCCGAGGATTTCAAGCACTTGTATTCACAAGCCCATACATCCTTCACCACATGAGCCTCGCTCCTTTTCGGGCCACAAACATTGCCTTCCACCTTGGTTATGCCAACCGCAACATGGTAACCATGGACCGTCTTCAGCAATGCGTAACAATGGATAGCCTAGCTTGCAGGTCCACACATCTAGCCTAGGCCTAGTTGCATTGCAAAGACAAGAGTGAAGGAGACTACCATGTTCCAAATAGAGCCCAGCTCCCTACTCATGCCCTGCTCCAGGAACCCAAGTAGAGAAACACTCCCACTTAAACTGAGAGTAATCTATAAATATAAAGGCACACATATAGGGGCAAGAGTGATGGAGGCCACTTTGTCCCAAATGAGCCCAGCTCCCAAATCATCCCCTCCTCTACGTACCCAAGTAGAGAAACACTCCCATTTAAGAGTAATCCATAAAACATAAAAGCATGAAGACACATACATGGGGAACATAAGATAGAGAATTCATCAAAGAACCAAGTGTACAGGCATTTAAAGGCCACAAGCCCCAATAATAATTGAAAATTCCAACCTAGATTTTGCACGATTTGAAAACTTGCGATTTCTTAACAATGGGTGGTGAATCATCAATGAAATTTGATCCCGAAGCCTATTTTTGGGTTCTTCATCCAATCATAGGCTGATTACACACAAAAAGGCACAAATTTTCTGAAATTTGAAGTTCTAATTTTCAAACTCATTATTCATCTAACAATTTTAAGAGCTAAGGTCTGCTAGAGACAAAGTCGAAACCCAAAACTAGTTTGGGGTTTCAACCATCTGAGGAAGTTTTGAGAAGAATTGGAGAATTAATTAGCATTGAGCACGAAGATCTCGAAACTAGGAGTTCTGCTCAAAATGGTTTCTATGTTTCCCTCAGTGACTACAATCCAATATCGTCAAATTGGTACCATATTTCACATTTATATATGTATTTTGTTTTGTATCTTTTTTCTTAATTATTTCCCCTTTCTCTTATTTTTGCTATTTTTCCGAAGTTTCCCAATCTGTTAGGCTTTTTTGAGGCTATTTTCAAACTTGGAACGTACTCCAGTGAGTCAACTTGGACTTACCCAATTAACTCAGCTAAGCGAAGGCAAAGTTCGACAGCTTAGCAGGGTAGTAAAACACTGATAATCACTAAGGAATTGCTAAGATGTAAGAAAGATTTCAATGCAAGATGAACAATAAAGAGAATGAGAAGGGATGAAGCAGAATATCAATAAGGCATCAAATGCTTGCCACTACAATTTGTTAAGGGAGTGTCTCAGCAAAACATAACATGGATCAAACGCATTGAAGCATAAACCACAATGACTCATTGAGAGTTTATAATGACACCTCAAACCAGGCTCCAAGAGATTTCTTTCTTGCTAAAGGAGAAACAGGAACTTGTTTTCACATGCTTTGATCCATTTCAACTTCAACTTTTTTATAAGATTGAATGTAATTTTGGTTACTATAATTGTGCTACAAAATTAATCATGGATACCTCCACCAGCACATCCCTAAAAGAAGATTAATGAAGTGGAATCCTACCTTGCACAGACGGTAATGTTATCTATTATATATCATGCCACCAAACAAGTTAAATTCTGTAGCTCCCAATAGGAGCCAGACAAGATGCAACGCAACCCCAACATGACATTCACCATGCATACTTAACGAATTAACTAGAAAAGATAGACCACCACTGTGATTTCTATTGATTATTTCATGCCAAAAGAGACGATTACACCTTGTAACTTCAGCTTGTGTGTCGAGCATGAGTAGTTTGATGCCTTGAAACCTTCTAAACATCACTTCTCAGAAAAAACAAAAAGAAAAACAAAGGGGAAAGGGGGGGAGGGAGGGGATGGGTAGGGGGGAAGTAGTAGAATTCCGGTAAATGTGGAAACTAATTTCAACAAGTGTAGAATCAAGATTCATTACGGAATCGAGAATTAGTAAATATTATAAATAAGATTCTATGAGTGTTCGAGTCAAGATTCCCAAAATAAGGAATTGAGATTCTAGACTTCACGAAAACGGATTTCGCGAAGACTCCTAGTCGGAATCACCGAATCAAGGTTCCGAATCGGAATCGCAACCTTCGATGAGAGATTTGGGTAACGATGATTTACAGTATGCTCCCATGAGCAATCCAAACTTTCTTTCAGTATTTGTTAGCGTCTTGAGAAAATAGGCAAAAACATTGCCTCCCCTATGACTTATTGTGCACAAGTTCCCTTTTAGAAGAGTATATGCTTTAGAAGATGCGCCCTCTAGCTATCTTCTAGGAGATGGTGAGAGCAGGGCACTCCAAGGAACGCCAAAAAGAATGGGTAAATATACGATTTTCCATGAATAATCTCCAAAAGAGCTCAATAATACCATCCAAAAGCAAGGTTCTTGCAACAAAACGTTGAATTTCAAGGGCATCAACACAAGTTTGGTTAGCAAGAGACTCATGCAGATAACCCATCTTGTATGCACTCATCAAGAAAGACTCCTCGGGCAATAGGGAGGACTTGGTTTATTTTAAAAAAAAAAAGTGGAGAAGAATGGCCCAAGTAAAAAATTAAACCTGGAGAATAAAAACATCAAGCCTTTGCTTTCTTTCTCGAAAAAGTTGAGCCATTGCTTCCAATATGTAAGACGATGCAGAGAAAATCACCTCCAAGAACTGTCCCAAAAAAAAAAAGATGGAGAACAAAGACATCTAATGACCCTTTGCTTCCAATATGTAAGATGAGACAGAGTGAACCACATACAACAAATGTCAAGGGAAAAAACAAAAGGGTACAATGACATCTAATGAGCTTTGTTTTCAGTATGTTGGATGAAGTAGAGTAAACCACATGAAAGAACCATAAAAGTTAATTTTAGTGACAGTTGTTTTAAAACACAAACTTGCTAAGGGTAGGAAGCCTTTTCAAGACACTTAAAGCCCTTTATTTTTGGGTTTAGGAGACTTTCATGCATGCATCTTTATGATCAGAAAAGCAACATCTCCCTTGGTAAGGTCTTGGATCTTCTCCAAGCATTGTTCCAGTTTCCTCTATTTAGGAGGCGACTCACTAAGATTTATCCATTTTATGCACCATTAGTTCATGAATACATAATATGAGGTCACTGAGATAAAAGAATAAGTTGGACGATTCATGTTCATATGGAGGCAATGCATATATTTGACTATCTAGCTAGATAGGAACTGGTTGACCAAGAGCTGATAAAGGAAAACTCCATCCCACTCCATTTGTTGTCGGGCTATTGTACATGGTTCATTATTGCTCTTGATTGCATTTCATGTATATTTCAAATGTTATAAGATGTGCATACCTCCAATGAATGGATTTATGAAAAGTATGTAGATCATGTAAGGAATGTTATGTAAAACCATTAGAAAGGAAGAACAAGTGCAATTAATGTGATGTAAAGCCTTTAGCTAAGAAGAACAAGTACAATTTTTTCTTCTCATGCAGAAGTTCCCGTAGAATTTTATGGGGATCTTCACTGTTTATTTGTTCAATTGTTCTTAATTTCTGATTTTACATAATGCAAATAAAAATTTGAGCCCAATTGTAAATGCTCCATAGATATCGGTCATGGCACATAATTTTTAAGCCCTCAGACTATATGAGAAGAATGAAAGTACGTTATGCAGACATGCAAGAGAAGAATTCTAAGAAATTGACCACCGTAGTATTCACAAACATGGTGATAATCAAAATAACACTTTGAGTAATTGGTAGGGCACTTGATATTATGTAAAAGAACCTCTGCCCCATCTACCTCAGCACTTCATTGATCTCATGGAATCGTGACATGACCACAATAAAGTACAGTGCAACATCAATATGCAGGCCCTATTTCAAAACATCCAACCAATTTCAAAACAAAGCGAAAAAAACTTAAATCATTCTCCATAAATTGTCTACACATTTAGACAACAAAGAAAAAAAGGCCTATGCACACAGGAATTAAGCCAAAGCTCTTTAGCAAGAAGTGCATAAAAATAAAAAACTGAAGACAATGCCTACTCTTAATAGATCTCAACAAAAAAGAGGCATTCCATAACATTATACTTCTGTCATGTCAAGGAATAAGTATAGTGAGAAACCACTATTGAATGAATTATGCAGGTTCAGTTATCTGTAACAACAATGATTGTTACAAACGCCCATGCACCAAAACAAATACAGGCAAAGGCCCATGAATAGAGGCATTCCATTTATTGTACTTAATCAAATTGAGAAATTAGTATAGTCAAAAACCACAATTGCCAGTGAATTATGAAAAAAAACAATGATTATTGTAAACACCACCGCAGAAACAAGTCTTCAATGATCTCCAAAACTTCAACATTGATCGAAGTCCCAATACAACACACATGCAAGCAAGCACGAACGCACACACTAGGGTTAGAATAGCAAGCAAAACTTACGAAAATACTCACCTGAATACATATCAAGAGAGGGCATGATCACTGAAAAAAGATGAGAGAAATGAGAACTGACCTCCAAGAGCCAGATTAACGGTGAGGAGGACAGGCCAGACAAACTTGTAACGGCGAGCAAAGGATTGCTTTGAAGGATCCATTACACGAGGAGGAGGAGGAGGAGGAGGAGGAGGAGGGGGACGAATGGTTTCTTCAGGCATGGGTGGCTTCAGTTGACCTGCACATAATGGAACCAAAAATCAAATTTGACTGCATCAAGCAAGAACATGAGAGAAAGAGAAAGAGACAGACCTCCCCAAGCAAGAGAAAGAGAGAGAAGTACTTTTCTTTGGCTTGTGGTCGTAGAGCGTTGGAGGATCAGTCATGGGTATTATTGGGGGATTCGCTCTTCACATTTCCAGTGTTTTGCTTGCCGGGAACAAAGACCTTGCAGGAGGAATATTTCTCAGTATTTTCTCAAATCAATGAGTATTAGATTTTAAGAGATTGAGTATTGCGAAGTTGCCATCCGCCAATAAGAGGGGTATGGGATTGTATACGGTAAGACCATCTATCTTTACGAAAGTGGTCACAACTCAACTAATCCTAAACATCAAGTCCATTCTTAAATTTGACACTTTAACTATGTCACTCTATTCGAATAAATTCTCGATGAACTTTGAGCCTGTTCGATCATACACATTCAGATGTTTCGATTTCAAATTGATCGGTCAGAAATGACTGTGACCTCCTTGTACAAAAGATAAAAGAAAAGATTTAAAAGAGATTGCAACTTAAAAATACATAATTAAGTTGGACCTCAAAACCCATCATGAAAGGTTGTTTGATGTTGAAAAAGCCTCTAATTCATCATCTCTATATCAAGATGTATGAATATAGTAAAAAGAAATATTTTGAGTCTTAAAACTAGTACATCTTGCAACACATTATATAGAACATCGATTTTCAAGATTTTCATGTCTTTATAGATTTACTTGATTTGAACTATTTTTGGGTGTTTTAAACTTTATAGTTAGAGACTCTCAAGCCATCCTAAAAAAAATTTTATACCAAAGTACATCTCATGATAAAATTTGGAGGTGTGTCTTACTTTGATTGTTTAAGATTGCAACATTATACAAACCACATCCTAAGATAAATTGTCTTCTTGTATATATTTCTTAGAGTTATAGCACATTTCTCAACTAGAACATGTGGAATACTTTGAGTTAGGAAGTTTTGGGTTTTCTGAAAACGGGAAGAGTCGTTGAACCTAAGGGCCTGAAAATCAAAAGTCTATGGGATGTGGAATTTCTAAATTTTTGAGTTCTTCACCTTAGTTGGAGGCAATAAAATGTCAGGGTTCGCCCAACAACATGATTTGGGCAAAGGATGATCGATCCTAAGCTCCCTCAGCAGGCAAAGAATCACCTTAAATGCTCCTCAAGGAGAAGCTGTCATAGAAGGTATTCCTTTAGCAAAACAATAATCCTAGAGATTCTCAACACCCTCCTGAACAAGGGCATGGTGAAGCTGCCTGTGCCAAAGAGACCCAAGGAAATCAGAAAAGATGATGAGCCTAACTATTATGTACAACATAATATTGGGTCACACAGTTAAAGATTGCTTGACCATAAAGGGCATCATTAAAATTTTGATAAAGAATGGGTAATTGCAGTTAGGACCAACTTCCTTAACAAATTTGAGTGACCAATGTTGGGAATCAACCATCATGAATGATGAATCCTAAGTTTCTCAGCCACGTGATGGTAAACTAGCTACCTCATGTCTTGGTTATATGACATTCAACTGCACCATGTCTCCTCAGTCTCATGCTCACAAACCATGACACAAGTTGCCCCCCAAGGAAGGGCATCCCTATTGAGTCCCAACTAATGGCCCGTACTTTGGGGCCATCAACCATAAGTGCCTTCCACTACAGGCAACTCTCCCCTAATGTTTCTACAACTTCATTCAATTCTAATGGCACACAATCGACATTCCCCTAGTGGATTGTACCTTTGAATGGTATGCATTGCAGCATTATGTGATCTACCTCTTTTTTGTCCTCATCACAAGATCTCAAACTATATGGTACATCATGCCCTTATTGGAATTATGTCACTTCAAGGTCTTAAAATTCCAATATCGTAATGATTCTTGACTTCAGTGCGAGTAAAAGAGTGATACTCTAGGATTTTGGTGCATTGGAACCAAGAGTCATTGAACCCTAAGACAGTCATATGAGGAAGATTTGTCTACATGGAAGGTATCGAGAGGGTTAAGGGTTTACCTCTTAGTCAGGGCTAGTTATTGTTTTGAGCCTCATGACTGTAGGATGGGCCATAACGATGTGATTTGTGTGATTGATGATATGAACTCAATGATAAAATAGCCACGTATGGGAAGATTAGGGGCAAACATAAGGCATTGACCTAAATCCTAACTCTTGTAACCTTCTTAACAATCGCAATGCATGGGAAGCTACTTTTCTAAGGATCCCCTGGTATGATGCATTCTCATGTGCTAAGAGAGGAACCCCCGCAACATGTGTATACTCATCCTTTGGGGGTTGCACCTAAAATCCACTAGTACTTAGAGATTTAGGGTCACTCATTAATTTAGCTATATCACGAGTCCCTGATTAGATATTGTGGGTCATGTGTTTGTTTGGTTATATCGAGGTGGCTTTGGATTCCTTATCTAGTCGAGTGAGGTGCTCTGATTCTTAATTTAACTAAAAAATATCATAATTTCTCTTGAAAATATTTTAAAATTGTGTTCGAATATTTTATATTGATGAAAAAGTAATTAAAATATTTTTTTTGGATTTTGGGATTTTTTTTATTGTTTTAGCAAAAGAATGAATTTTTCAAAATTGTTTTCAATAAATGATAAATAAAGACCCACACAAGACACCCAAATGGTCAATGGGTGTTCACGTGGAGCAATGGAGGGTCCCATGACAGCCCCTTGTGGAGGTGACATGGGGGTGACATCAACCCCTATGGGAATTCCTTGTCCTTTACATGTTTGTTGATTTAAGTAAATGGGCATTTAAATATATTTTTTTATGATATTTTGATAAAGTGGAAAATTAATTTGAGTACATGTTAAATGTGAAAAGCAAGTGGTTTGCGTACATGTGTTAGCCTTTTAGAAGGAGCATAGAGTTTGATATTTCAACTTAAACACAAAGGGTATGTAGTAATTTTACACTTAACCATAGCTTATGTGACATGATTTGATTAACCCCATATGCTCTTATAAAATGAAAAAAGTTTCAAATTTGATTTTTTCTAGAATATTTGTTACATTACTACAATGGTATGCTGTCACACCCC